GTTGAGACTCTGCTGTTTAACTGGTGGTTTGGCCTTGATCTGGTTATTTAAATTTTCTGGGCATGTTTCTTCATCTTATATAAATTTCTTTAGGGTTTAGACTAGATTATGTAACTCTAAAGAGCCTTGTGTTCTAAATGTCTGTGAAATCACAGTGGCCACAAAACTACCTAACCTAATTGGCAGGGCTGTGATTGGGAATTGGAAACTGAAATACCTGCAGGAAGTAGGCTGTCACCATTGTATGAAAGAAACAGTAGTGGAATTGCAGTCAAATGCTCTACCACTGAGCTATACCCCCGAAACAGTAGTGGAATTGAAAGGACATGCCTCACCTAAAGAAAATTACATAGAGAATGATAGTATTTTCAACATATTCTTCGTATACTGAGCTGCTGAATAGCAGTAAAACACTTTCCTAAAATAGTGTCATGGTATTACTGGGAATGTATATAAAGGGCATTATTGTAATTAGAGCAGATAGAGGAGACTTCTGTCAATCTGTCATTTGAGAAGTGACTTGGACAGTGTTGCACATGACTGACAGCTGTATAGCTTTTAAACCCAGATTTCTTGTTTTTAATCTCATTAATATGGTAGTAGACCTCTACAATTTAGGATTATTTTTACAGTTGTGCGTTATTGCAGAATGCGGAGAATTGAAGGAAGGGGATGATTGGGGCATATTCCCAAAAGATGGCTCTGGTGACAGTCATCCAGACTTCCCTGAGGATGCAGATATAGATTTAAAAGATGTGAGTACTTTCAGATTAGTCAAATTTTAATTATTAAAAATAGTACTAAAATTTTGAATTACTCATATCAATCTGTCTTAGTGATAGAACCTAGCATTAATTACTAAAATGCAACATATTTGTATTTTTTAATACAGGTAAATAAAATTTTGCTAATAACAGAAGATGTAAAAAATATTGGAAATACTTTTTTCAAATCTCAGAACTGGGAGATGGCCATTAAAAAATATGCAAAAGTTTTAAGGTAATAAAGTATTTTTAATTAATTAATTCTAAGAGTTTGTAGATTGAATTATAAACTGAAATTCAGAGTTGTTTATTGTCTTTTTGGCAAAATTACTTTGCAGAATAACCAGCTGTGTTGAAATAGTTTCACATCTTTTGTTTCCTCCAGCTTCTTACTTTGAAAAATTTCAAAATACAGGAAAGTTGAAAGAATAGTATATGAATACACCTGTACCTTTATTTCTTTACACTATTTTTAACTCTTACTATATTTGTTTTTGTAGAATCATTTTGAAAGGAAGTTACAGATACCATGACACTTTACCCCTAAATAGTTGAGCAGGTAATTCCTAAGAAACGAAAACGTGCTTCTACGTAACCTTGATACACAATATTATCTAATATGTAATCCATGTTCAAATTTCCACAATTACTTCAATTTTCTTTTTTTAGTCCAGAGTCCACTGTATCATTTGGTTTTATGTCTTTAGTCTCTTATCTTTAGTAGTCCCTACTCTGCACTAGGTTTTTGTAGTCATTTGTATCTTGTGGAGTCTTAAGTCAGTTGTCTTATTGAATACCATCTGTATTTATTTGATTACTTCCTCAAGATTAGTTTGAGGTTCAATATTTTGGTAAGAGGACTTAAATCGGTGGTGAATATTTCCTTTGATATCACATCCTGAAGGCACACGTCAGTTTGACCTATTTTGAGTTTTGGCACTTGGTTAAAGTGGTGTCAGCCAAATGCTTGTGTCATAAAGCTACCTTTTCCCTTTCGTAAATAAGTACTTTGTGAGGTGATCCTGTGAGATTGTGTGAATATCCAGTTCCTAACCTTTCTTTCATTCAGTGGGTTTTTGCATCATTGAAGATCCTTCCCTGAATCAATTACTATACTGGTCACAGAACTGATGTTCTAATTTTTTCATTCTGCAGTTATTTTCTTGCATTCTAATGTTTACAAGAGCCTCTTCCTTCTCCCCAGCCCTTTTTAGTATTATATACTTGGGATTTTTTTTAGGTTCAACCTATTATACTATCATTCTTTTTGATGCTCAAAGGGTTCCAGATTTGTCCAGTGGAAGCCCCCTTTTCCTGTATCCTTTGGACATGTTCCTATTAGTCTGTGAGCACTTGCTTTCTGGTACAAGGTGTTTCAGTTTCATCTTTTACTTAACTGTTTCCAGATCTGGTATTAGCAGTTTCTCCAAGGAGCCCTGGTTCTTGGTTCTTTTTATTGGGTTCTTGGTTCTGGGTTCTGGGTTCTGGGTTCTTGGTTCTTTTTATCTATCGATTTTAGAAACCATATTCTGAGGGCCAGGTGTGCCCATTGTTTCTGGGCCCTTTTCCGTGGGCAGAGCCAGGAACTGTATTCAAATACAGTTCAAAATCAACACTGCAAAGGTTCTTCACCTTGCCTCATTCTGTTCTCTCTCCCACGGTGACAACCTTGGCCCAAACATACTTAATGTTGGAAAATACATAATGGAGACCTGAGCTTTAAAAATTGGGAAGTGTTAGTAGTGCATAATTATCTTTAGATTTGAGGAATCCTGTTAAATTGGTTTCTTTGAACACTTTGGGGAAAAAAGTTGGAACAAATAAAAATCTTCTAAAGGAAAATAAGATTGTGATCATTAAGAATATTAATATTAGCATTTGATGAGCTTTTTATATCAGAAATGACCTAACACTTTTTGCCATAGTTGAAGGAGCAGAGTAAGTTGTGTGTGGCATTATATGCTACCTTTATTAATGTATTCTCCAGATATGTGGAAGGTTCAAAGGCTGTTATTGAGAAGGCAGATAGATTGAAGCTGCAACCTATAGCTTTAAGCTGTGTGCTGAATATTGGTGCTTGTAAACTGAAGATGTCAAATTGGCAGGGAGCAATCGACAGTTGTTTGGAGGTAAGTCTCTTTGACATCAGACTTTTTGAAGGAGTGGGATTATGATTTTTCAACTTGAAAAACAATTTTATGTACAGTAATATATTTTATTACAGAGGACCAAATGAGACTTGATGAAGCATAACTTAAAAGTCATTTTATCTCTAAATATTTTGGACCTTCAGTTCTTCTGTTAATCCATTTATTTAGCTGATGACATTATGTAACTTAGTATCTGTGAAGATACTTTCCTTTTTTCCTCAGAGCACATGTATCATTTATTCATTGAACATATTGAGCACCTTTTGTGTGCAGGGCATTGGAATATGAGTTGCAGAGCTAGTCAGACTTGGTGTTTTTGTTAGACTTCTGTCACTAACTTTGTGATCTTGGTTAAGTCCTAATTTTAGAGTTTTTTTTGTTTTTTTTTTTAAAGATTTTATTTATTTATTTGAGAGAATGAGAGAGAGAGCATGAGAGGGGCAGGGTCAGAGGGAGAAGCAGACTCCCTGCCGAGCAGGGAGCCCGATGCAGGACTCGATCCCAGGACTCCAGGATCATGACCTGAGCCGAAGGCAGTCGCTTAACCAACTGAGCCACCCAGGCGCCCTAATTTTAGAGTCTTAACATCTTTGTATTAAATGAAAATAATCCGTGCCTCACAGGATTGTTACAAAGATTATATAACATATGTAAACCATTTAGCATAGTTTTGGGCACATGTTAGGCATCTAATAGAGATTAGGTGCTTTAATTAAAAGACTCAGACTTGTGTTCCCTCTCTCACTGTCTATCAGAAAATAAATAAAAATCTTAAAAAAAAAGGGGGGGGAGCACATAATAGAGGAAAAAACTTATCCAAGGAAACGATGGGTCTTCACTCTGGATTTCTTTCTTTAAGTAGGCTCCGCACCCAACATGGGGCTCGAACTCATGACCCTGAGATCGAGTCGCATGGTCTTCTGACTGAACCAGCCACGTGCCCGAACTCTGGATTTCTTTTTGACCTTTGAGAGGCAGATAATACAACTTTTTCAGTAAAATCTTAGTATTGACCTTTAGAAGATGTGAAGTAAACAAAATTATTTGTAATATGTTTATTTTAAAGGAGAGACCTATTCAACTTTACTCACACTCCTTAAAAAACCCTGTAGGTTTTTGTTTTTTTTTTTAAAGATTTTATTTATTTATTTGACAGAGAGGGAACGAACACAAGCAGGGGGAGTGGGAGAGGGAGAAGCAGGCTCTCTGCCGAGCAGGGAGCCCAATGTGAGGCTCGATCCCAGGACCCCGGGATCATGACCTGAGCTGAAGGCAGACGCTTAACGACTGAGCCACCCAGGCGCCCAACCCTGTAGGTTTTAAGTAAAAGAGTATAACAAATTTTTTATTCATAACAGTTTTCTGTTATCATTTAGAGCCCAATCAGGAGATAGAAACTATACAGTAATTTGAAAAGAGAAAGTTTAATATAAAAGTATGTAAGAGGGGATTGGAATAATGAGGGAATGGCTAATAAAGAGAATTCTAAAGAATATGGGAAAGCAGATATATCTATCTGCTATATATATGGAGCAGTCACTCCCCCTAGGCTAGGATGGAGCCCCCAAGGAAGAGGCACCTCATGACAGCCCCTAGGCTGATGTCCAGATCTCACTGGGGAGGGGGGATGGCTGTGACTTACTGGGTGGCAGAGAAGTTCACTGGCTACCATACTTATGGGACTCCGCTGTAGCGCTTGGGTAAGTTGCCTGCAGTGAGCTGCCGTGTGCTCTCGACCAAGCTCAATGCAGGAGCCTGCAAGAAGTGTACTGGAACCTGGAAGAGAAACAGCTTTTCTCGTCTGTGTCCTTTTGGTGCCCTCTACTGATAAAATGTAATGTGCCCGCTGGCAGAGAGAAGAAATTTACAGGGTCCATCCAGCTCCATTATCACAGAGCAGTGAAGGGTTGATTTGGAGTTGAGTGGCAATAAATTGAAATTTAGTACATATATTTAATAATATTTAGGTAAAAATAATAATTTTATAATTTCTTGTAGGCTCTTGAAATAGACCCATCCAATACCAAAGCATTATACCGTAGAGCTCAAGGATGGCAAGGATTAAAAGAATACGATCAAGCATTGGTAAAATTTTGTTCTAAGCTTTAATATTTTTAGACAATCACCTTCATAAATCATGTATCTAATATTTTTTTAAATGTCTTTTTTCAATTAAAGGCTGATCTTAAGAAAGCTCAGGAGATAGCACCGGAAGATAAAGGTAAGTTGGCAATTTTTATGGTCAAAGTTCATTTTGTCCTGTTAAGAATGTATCTTTATGAACCATTGTACCCTTTGCCACTTAGATATTTGTTCAACAGATACTACATAATGACTGTTATTGGTACTGATCATATGGCAGTGAACAAGTCAAGGTCCCTGCTCTCAAAAGAGCTTACATTCTAGTTACTCTTCAGAATACTGATTTTCACATACCCAAATATTTTTCTCTCATATCATTTGAGATCTGGTTCCTATTACTTTAATTCTAGTTGAAAGCACAGCAGTAAAAGATACAGTATTTATGATGAATTTAATGTGTGGGACCATTCCTTAAGCTGAATGAGGCCATAATACAAGTATTCTAGTTACTGGATGTGTATTTTAGGAAAGCTTTGGGAAGTTAGGACAAAAATTAGTTTGTTTTTTTCAAATACGCCTGCTACAAATAGTGATACGAGATCTAGATGTTAAAATATATCTTCAGTCTCTCACTGCTAAAGTAAAACAGGGGAGGCACTTAATTGCCTTCTCTCACAGGGAGAGAGAAGGCAAATCTACACAATTCAGTTAGACTTCTCTCAAATTGACAATCTTCTAAAGTTATGTTTCATGGTTTTTGTGTTTGTGTGATTGCTTTGTCAGTAAAATAGTCTATTAATTGAGCTCAGTTACTTTACAGAGAAGAGTTGTATCAACGGGGAGAATTAACTATCATATGTAAAACATTAGTTGTTGGGCATCCTAATTTTTTGGATGTTTTGAGAAATAACCCCTATTACGTATTTATTTTACAGCTATCCAGGCAGAATTGCTGAAAGTCAAACAAAAGATAAAAGCACAGAAAGATAAAGAGAAGGCAGCGTATGCAAAAATGTTTGCCTAGTAAGAAATTCAGTTTTATTTAAATATGCATTGATTGTTATATGAAGGCAGTAAGAAAATTTAAAGGTTTTTGTCAGTTATATATGATCCCTGATGTGTTTCCTTTGATACTTCAGTTTCCCATTGTTTACATTTCAGGAATACTGAAAAGAGTTCACTCTTAATAAAACAGTGTTGCAAAATACAGTGAAGTTTGATTTTTTTTTAAATGGCTTTCTGCATTAATCACAAAGAATAATGGTGTCTGTTATTCTAAACTCGGTACCTGTTTCTAAACTCCTGAAGACACATCTTGTTGAATAAACAGTTTAAAGCTTAAGTTTGTATACTGTTTCCCTCAATTCTTTGATGTATTTCTCTGTGGTTGGTTTTTGCTGGTGTTTTGTACTTATGTACAAAATATTCAGGGGTCAACCCACTTTCTCCAAAGGGCCAGATAGTAAATATTTTAGGTTTTGTGGACCATTGTCATCTGTCACAACTGCTCATTTCTGCAGTTGTAGCCACAGACCGTATGTAAACCATTGGGTATCATGTGTTCCAGTAAAACTATTCATGAGAAAAGTGGTGGGCTGGATGCTAAACTGGTATAGAATATACATTTATATTTGAAGTTTTGAATTTGACAAGTCAAATCTACATTAAAGGCCAGTAGTGTATTTGCTATTGGTACTGAATCTTTGAAGAATTATAGAGGTAAGCAGATGCTACCTCATTTGTAAAGTTTTATGTAGGAGGAATATTCATAATTTCAGGTTTAAGTATAAAATGTTTATTTCTTTGATAATTTTATGAACATTCTGATCAGTAATATGCAGTAAAATATTTTGACACCTGTTGACTTCTTAGCATTTAAAGTTAGTTTGCCATACGTTTTAAAGAAACTATCAAACGTGCCTGCAAACGAAATCAGTTGCAGTTTACATTCCATTGTAAGCAGGTCCTCCACCACCTTCGGGTACCACCCAGTTAATATTCTGACTTGGATCTTTAATATCACATGTTTTACAGTGCACGCAGTTCTGAGCATTTATCTGTAACCGAAATCCATCACCTTGTTCCAAAGGTACAAATTCATAAACTCCTATAAGGAAAAATAAATAATATTATGAAGTACCTGTTTTAACTTCTGAGATTCAAAAGTAGAAACTGAAGTCCTGGAAACAGTAGCTACAGAAACCTTGAAGGTTTGTTTTCTTAATGTTTACCCATGGAGAATATTATGAAGATCTTGGTGTGTGCTATTGCTATTAGTATAAATTAAGTATGGATAAAAGCAGAAAGTATACAGTTATTTGGCCGAGTCAGTCTTACTAAATAAGGGAACAACATTTAGCAATTTTTGAGTTCCAATTTTATATGTGTGTTACAACTAAAAAGACAAATTGGATCCAATGCTTACCCCTTGAAGAGTTTACAAACCAGTGTAAGGACAGAAATGATTTAAGAAGTCAAAAGACAGTCAGGGTCCCTGCCCTCAGAGTTTACATTCTAATTCTAGTCCCTCCAGAATATACTGATTTTCATATATCTGCATACTGTTCTACCATATTAGAGATCCAGTTCCTATTATAATTCTAATTGAAAGTTTACATTAAAGGATAGAGTATTCATGATGAATTTAATGTCTGGGACCATTTTTTGAGCTGAATGTGGCTATACCCTAATGTTTTAGTATATATATAATGTGTGTGTGTGTGTAGGAGCAGCCATGACAAATGATTTAAGTCATGGAAAGAGGTATTAGGTGTTCCATAATCCTTGGTCTGAGGGTAAGGGAAAGGCTTTTTTTTTTTTTTTTTTTTAAATTCATGACCTGGAGATCAAGACCTGAGCTGAGATCAAGAGTCAGCCACTTAACCAACTGAGCCACCCAGGTACCCCAGGAAAGGCTTTGAGAAATGTCAACTGCATTAGGCTTACCAAAAATTCCCTATTACTTTAGCATTGCTAGAGTAAGAACCACAAAAATGAGTTTTCTAATGGAAGCTGGATGTACGGGGTCATTTACAGTTTCCATGCAGTGGAAGGAGACATTTCTTAAAATAATGGAAGCATATTTCCAACATGGTTAAAACAAGTATGTGTGTTTTAGGAATGGACAGAAATCACATTACTGACCTGCAGGGCAGAATCGCTGCTCCGGTCCATCATATATTGACAGATTTCTATTTACCGGAATACTGTCGTCCTTTAAGGTTAAATGTGCTGGCTGGTCATGTTCATGGTTAGTACCACTCAGAGCCACAGATGACAAAAGGTCAAAACTGATCTGTCCATCAGGTTTGGGATACTCAATAGGTGTGCAGTCCTTGGCTGGCTTGAGCTGATCAGAGTCAGAACCTTAAACAGTTTTGAGGAAGATTTTGAATAAAAATAACACTAATGTAAAAGTACTTTCTCAAACATTTTTATGAAAACTTGAAGATATTATACCAAAGAAGTAAGACTTTAGTCCTCTTATAGTAATGATAAAGATTAAAGATACTGAATTTATTATTTCTCTAATAAAACAAGTTTGAAACAAAAAACTCACTTTATTACTTAATGGATCCTATTCGTGAGGTTTAAAAAAAGTAAATTTTCTTTTTTTTTTAAAGTTAACTCTACCCTCAACATGAGGCTAGAACTCACAACCCCAAGATCAAGAGTTGCATGCTGTACTGAATGAGCCAGCCAGGCGCCTGCATTCATGAGTAGCATGAATAATGATTATAATATTAATACTCAAATATGTTAGAATTACCTTTATGTTTTAGAGTCCACGGCTCCATTCCTCTCAATATCCAGTAAAAGACTCCAGTGTAAAGCATCCCGCCATATACACCCAGTATCCCATGGCAGGATGGTCTGATATTTCTAACAGTGTATAGCTCTTTCCACACCCAGGATTTCTTTATATTGTCTTCATATTCAGGTACATGAAGTCCTTTTGTTAAAAACATGAAATTAACTGTTAAGTGTCAAATTACCTTAAGGAGTATAAAATACTTTATCAGGAAGGTATTTCGCTACTGAAATACCTGATGAGTGAATCTTAAATTTAAACAGGTGGTCATGAAAGACCACACTTGAAGACTCTTTCACATACAAATGCTGGCATCTTCCAAAAAGATAACCATTTGATATATGTTAACAGGTGGTAACGCATTTGATTTCTTAAACTTAGTAGTATGGAAAATTAGTTTTAAAATTCAGTGAACCTGAAAAGGTTAAAGAGTTCATGCTACCTATAAAAGTGAAAAATTTTTATAGTTGATTAAATGAAACACTTCTACCTGTTAAACGTTGAACTGTGCCCCCCCCCAAAAAAGATTATTTTCAAGTCCTAACCCCCAGTTATCTCAGGATGGGTCACAACAGGGTCACTGCAGATTAATTAGTTGAGATCATACTGGAATAGAGTGGGTCCTTAATCCACCAACTGGTGTCTTCATGAGATACACGGAGAAGAGAGGAGAAGACGGAAGCAAGAGATTGGAGTTATTCTGCCAAAAGCCAAGGAATGTCTGGGGCTCTCAGAAAGCTGAGGGGCAAGAGGACTAAAGACAGGAGAGAGTAAGGTGCTATCAACACCTTAATTCTGAACTGCTAGCCTAAAGAACTCAGAATAAACGCCTGTTGTTTTATGCTGTCCAGTTTGTACTTTGTTGTGGCAGCCCTAGGAAATTTATAATACCGAAATGGTGCATGCATTTAATATTTAATGGGACAAACTGGTTCTTCTTACTAACTGGCCCAAACTCCGTAGTGGCTATACACTTTCCAGTCACTGTTCTGTTCTGGCTCCATTCCCTTTCCCTCAGGCTTTAATCCTCCCTCTGTCTGGTCTTCATTGATCTACTTGCACCAGTACTGTCTGTGCTGGTACTGTGTGTACATGAAGTGCAAGTATGGCTTGTGGTCCCAACAAGGAAAGCTACTTGGCAAGAAAATGAGAAAAAAGTTCCACTACTCAACAATTACACTTCTTACCTATTCTGTTCTCTCTGGCCTCGCCTATGTTCTACCTATCCCCTTCCTCTCCCACAACCTAGGCCTCCATTTCTACAAAGACATTTGAAGGCATAATCAGGTTTCATATTTCTCCCTGGAGGAACATTTGTTTTCTGGAATTCTAAGGAATAAGGTTTATTTATCAAATATCTACTAAGTTGTTACTATGTGCCAGGGATTTGGGATTCCTGGTGAACAAAGTCTCTGCTCTCTCGGAGTTTTCCATCCAAGAGGCAGGAGACAAAGTTGGTAATTATGTGCCAAAAGGGGGAAAATACTATAGGAAAAAAAAAACCCAACAGTCTGTTGGGGGAAGGGGTGGGAGTGCTCTGTGTGCATTGCAAATTAACTGGTACAGTCCATATAAGGCCACCATGAGGGAGAGATCTGAGCAAAGGGGAAGGGAGCGAGGGAGTCAGCCATGAGTAAAGATGGTCTTACAGTCAAGAAGCCAGTGTGGCTGGAATGGAGAGTAAAAAGAGATGAAATCAGAGGAGTGCGAAAACTTAGGCTCTTATTTTGAGAAAAATTGAGAATTACTGAACGGTTTTCATAGATTAAGGGTTTATGGAGGTAGAAGAGTTTAGCTCTTCCTCTCCACCAGAGCAGAAGGGTCACATCTATGGCTGTGCTTGCAAAGCCTGCAAAGGAAAAGGTGCTGCTGGATTCTGCAGTCTGCAAAGAAAGCTGTTCTGTTTTCAGATTGAAGATACTGCAGTGTTTCTGAGGTATCTTAGTGTGTATATGATACATACAAAATGTAACAAAGTACAGTCAAACTTGAAATCATTTTTTTTAAATTTTTTAAAAAGTTTATTTATTTAAGCAATCTCTGTACCCAACTTAGGGGTCCAAACTCATGACCCCAAGATCAAGAGCCGCATGCTCTACCAACTGAGCCAGTCAGGTGCCCCAAACTTTATTTATTTATTTTTTTAAAGATTTTTATTTATTAATTTATTTGACAGAGAGAGAGAGACAGAGAGGGAACACAAGCAGAGGGAGTGGGAGAAGGAGAAGCAGGCTTCCCGCTGAGCAGGGAGCCCCATGTGGGGCTCGATCCCAGGACCCTGGGATCGTGACCTGAGCCAAAGGCAGACGCTTAACGACTGAGCCACCCAGGTGCCCCAGGTGCCCCAAACTTTAATCATTTCTAAGTAGGTGGGACATCACTGGTACTATTCTACTTTTGATGTGAATAAAACAGAACATTGATATAAAAATCTAATTACTGAGATTAAGTCACATAGTCATATAGTTCTTTGCACAGCATACACCTGAATGCTTTGTGAAAAGGGACAGATCTTTTAATGTCACCTGAAATATGCATAAAGACCTCAAGATTTTTAATTGTATTTATTTTCATCCTCTATCTATATACTAAGTGTATGTTTAAATAGCTTCTTTTTAAATATCTCAGTGAAGAACCTGACAATTTTCAATGCTTTAAATAGGAAGTTCTTACCTATTGTCTTTGATTGGAGATTTTCACTAGTTAGTTGATTAAAAATAGATTCTGCTGCCAAAATTCCACTTTTCATTGCTGTGTGGGTACCTTTGATCTTGGGAACATTCATGAAACCAGGACTACAACCAATTAGTAAGCCACCAGGAAAGGTGAGTTTTGGTATAGACTGAGGAAAGAAACATTCAAAGTGCATTTTCAGCTTAAACAAAACTGAATACTACAGATTATTATCATCTCTTAAAGTCTTCTAAAGCTGTAGGGAAAAATGTGAAGGGAAAAAATCAGAGCAAGGGCAGTTTTTTCCCCATTTCCTAAGAATGAGGATTAGAACTATTACTATTTTTCTAAGACTTTTCCCTCTTCTTCCCCATGACTAACCTATATGAGACAGATTTAGGACCATATTAAATAAAATGTTATTTTTACATATCCATGTCTAAAAATACTCCCTAAACCTAAACAACTATTATCTAAATTGTAATGTGCTTTTATGTGCATTCTCAGTAACACATGATTTACAAAAGGATGTTAACTCTATATGCCCTTTTTGTTTTACTTTGATATCTAGGGATGGAAACTTAGGTTCTCATCATGGCATCATTACAATTAGCTACTTCCTTAAAGAATATATTTTAATATATGAATTTATGATTATGGTTCTCAGACTGAATTCAATATTAGAACCACCTAGATAAAAGAGCATGAAATCAGGATCACAGAGTAGATAAGATGGGGGAGGGCTTTCTGGAATATTATTAGCTGAAAAGAGAGAATAAGAATTTGGATAATGGCAACATTTTTCTTAAATAGGGCTGTGGCCTTGCTAACACTAAGTTTGATTTAATAACCAGAAGACTGTGAAGTTTAAGAAAAGGGCATGGATTACTAGTGCAAGGTCTTCCAAACTGGTGCATAAGTCCTACGAATAAAAGTCTTATGGCCCAAGCAAACATATTTTTACATCCTGGGAGGATCCTACCCTGTAGGGGCAGTGTTACTGGCAGCTGGGTATCTTGTTAAGGAACTGAGGAAAAGTTGCACTGAGAAATGTATTCTAGGATATTCATTAAACCACAAATTATTGGAAACCCTCCCGAAAAGGTAAGTTTTGGTACAAACTGAAAAAGAAAAAGTCATGTATATAGAAACAACCTTATTTATAAAGAGAACTGGTGGTTGCCAGAGGGGAGGTGAGTGGGGGGGACGGCAAAATATGTGAAGTGGATTAAGAGGTATAAACTTCCAGTTATAAAATAATGATTTAAAAATTTTAAAAAGAGGGAAAAAAGTCAGGTTATATTTGTTAGCTCAAAATAAAATCAAATGTTTTAAATCATTGCTTAAGGTTCTTCAAAAACTTACTAGAACTAAATTTCTGAATCTTTGACTAACTGAATCAGAAAATTTAAGCAAAAAGTGAGTGTGTGTGTATAAGTGCATGTGTGCGGTCAACTCTTCCTGCCATTCCAAAAAATCACCTGAGATGTTGAAACACACAAGGCAGATGTTTTTAAATACAGATCTGTATGTCCTATTGAATATACTGGGAACTTTATAAATTAAAAAGAGTAGAATTAGACTGACATTATAGAGATTGTGCAAAAGAGCTGAATGGGCTTGAACACAGTTATGCAATTTAATAAATATTTGTTGCAAATGAGTTACTACAGAAACAAAACCTCATGAGAAGTAATCCCATAGCAACAGAAGTTAGGGATACTGTTATTTTAAGATTCTAGTGATTACATTTATAATTTAACTATGATTTTACTTGACTTTATGAATTATTGTTACAGTAATAAAGTATTTGGAACTTCATTTTAAGGGTTAACTCCCCTCTCCCCCAATTTTCTACCATCTGTTACTTCTACAACAGAATTACGGAAAAAAAAAAAAAAGATATCCAATCTATCAAATGGCTCCAGATTCCTAGAATATTAGAGACAGAAAGGATCATCTATAAAATAAAGGCCAGAGAAGATAAGTAACTTGCTTTAAATCACTTGGTATAAATTTTAGTAAGCTAATTTTTTAGATCATCTTACCTAATATTTTTACAGCAGTACTAACAGCTTTTATCATAGCTACCTAGGTTTTTTATCTCATTGACTATATATACTTAATACATTAACATTTTTTTTATAACCATGCTGTTTTATAGCTTGTTTTTTTTATTTTTACTTAATGTCGTATCTTTAACATCTTTTCCATGTCAACATCTGCAGATGTACCCATCATATTTTTAATGACTACAAAATTCTTTGTATAGACTTGAGCTACCAGTTTCTTCTTTTTTGTATGTTATATGTATTATATACTGTATTCTTTTTTAAAATTTAAATTCAACTAATTAACATATAATGTTACATTAACATAAGATTTATTATGAACATATACTAAAATAGACAATTAAGGGCAAAAGCTTGCCAGAGGCCACCTAAAAGGCATGGATGTTACTAGGTAGTTGGGATGGGTTACTAGGTAGTTTTGAAGAACAAAACTAAATCTTTGTTTCCTGGCAGCTAAGGAATAAAAGAAAATATCTTTGGATCATATAGTTTTAATTTTCTGGCTAAAAACCAACCAACCAACAAAAAGCCTATAAATTTATCTCAAGAAATCAATATATTCTTAAAACTAAATTCATGGTGTAATTTTATTTAACTATGGTGTAACACAGTTTTATAAACACTAGATGCTCTGATTAAAGTTTCTTCCTATGACATAATTTTCTATTCTTTATCTGAATTTTTTACTTTATAATACAGAAATAAGAAAAAGTTGGATGAGTTACCTGAAAGCCACCTTCATTCAGGGCTCTGGCTCCATATGCAATCCTTTTTCCACCTTCCAATGTTGGCTGAATGCTGGGATGGTGTTTCCACCTCTGGAACTCTTTAAATGGACTCAAATATGGATTCTGGTAGTCTAGACCAACCTTAAAATTTTTATATTTGGTAGATTTATACGATTAGACATTTTTATTTCAAATTATATCAAGCTAAAATGTGATCAATATTTATAAGAAAACATGTATGTTAAATTTCTTATATTCAAAGTACTTGGAGAAATATATGCAGTAACCCAAACTTAAATAAATGAATAAAATCTCTTTGGAAAAGAAAGGGTAAACAAAAAGATACCTGTGTTTATAATTGGCCAAACTTTAAAAATTTAGAACATATTAATAAATCATTGTGCTCTGTAAATAAAAGCCCAAATTAGAAAAATATTTGTAGGTAAGTGTCTAACATTATGTTTCTACAAAAGGAGTTGTAATTATTTTTCATTTTTCAGTACCCATTCTAGTAATCAACTAATAAGCTATCTGTGGTACTAATGAGGCAAAAATGAAGAAACAGAACGTAATCATACTTAGAAAAAAGAGGACAAGAAATATAAGAAGTTACATTTTATAAGGCATTATCAAAATGCTGGAATTAATAACCAAATCTTTTTTGCTTTGAAAAAATTAAGTCACTGGAATAATCATACAAAGATGAGAAACTGAACACTTGGCTGGGTGTCAAAAAACACCAATAATGCGAAAACTTAATAATACATATACAAGTCTAGCTATGACATTAAATTATAAAGCTGCCACCAACTGTAAGGTGCAGAAACCCTTATTTTTCCATTCCTTGCAATGTTCAAGATGTAGTTACTGCAAAGATGTAAGTGGCCAAAAAGGGAGAAAATGCTTACATTTTTTAAAAAGTTAAAGATTCAAACCCAGTGCTGATTTCATTTTTCGTGACAGCATGCCATAGTGAAAATGGGCTTGGAAGTCACGCAAACTCAGGTGTGGATCCTGCCTCTGTCATTTAATGGGTGTATTTGGGAAAGTTGTGTAACTTGTTTGGACTTCAGTGTCCCGTCAGTAAAATAAGGATATACATACTTCATAGGACTTTTATGAAACTTATAATTCTCCGTGAAGCCTAGGGCATAGTGTTTGGCATTTAGTAGCTACCACCACAAAAGCTATGTGTGTTTAAAGCTACAGACCAATGCCTGTGAAAGCCCCAAGCACCTTACCTACGGACAAAATTAGAAAGTGACCTTTAAATGAAAAGCATTCTACATGCTCCAGATTTTATAACACTGATGATCCAAGGACTCTAACAGTAGAGTTTTCCAGAATGGGGCATGTAACTTACCACAAAACCAAGGGCTACCAGAGGTTCGCCTTCATTTAAATGGTAGAGGAAGGAGCCTCCATAAGTGTGTCTGTCCAAGGGCCAGCCGACAGTGTGATCCACTCTCCCTGGTTTCCACTTCTTTTCATCAATAATCCATAACTTAAAAAAAGAAGTCCTAGGGCATTATTTAAATTTTTTCTACCACCACAATATATCAAACTTGCCAGGTTTTATGTCTTAGTTATGAAAATTTCAAGGGAAAAACTGTAATAAGAGAAGAACTTCACATATCAAGAAAATTGTATCAAATAGCAGTATGATGAACCGAACTAAAAAACAGGTCAAAAAAGCTATGAACTCTTTAAGAAATTTCTTTAAGAAAATGATTAGATTTTCAAATTGGTAAGACTTTCATGCGATTATAGGGAACACCACTGAAGAGATGAGGAAAACTTCTGGGGTGTTGGTAATGTTCTAGATCTTGATCTGGGTGGTGGTTCCATGGGTATGCTCACCTTATAAAAATTAATTGAGCTGTACACTTATGATCTGCTGCTTTCCAGTATATATGTTGTTCTTCAATAAAACAGCTTTTGCTCTCCTGCACTCCCCTTTTCCCAAATGAAACAAACTGTTCATCTGTTTTCAGAATGGTAAGCTTTGTTTTTTTTTTTTTTTTTTTTTAAAGATTTTATTTATTTATTTGACAGAGAGAGAGTGAGCACAAGCAGGTGGAACGGCAGGCAGAGGGAGAGGGAGAAGCAGGCTCCCCGCTAAGCAGGGAGCCCGAGGCGGGGCTCGATCCCAGGACCCTGGGATCACGACCTGAGCCGAAGGCAGACACTTAACTGACTGAGCCATCCAGGTGCCCCTGGAATGGTTAAGTTTTAAATTTTTAAAAATTTCCATTTGAAATATCTAAAAATCAGATAATATTATGTGCTACGTGCAACCTACCAAAACAATAAAGCCTTTACTCACAATAAATCTAGCTATATACAGAATTGGAAATGTTCTGAGTTTTACCCCCAAAAAATTTAAACAGAAGCATTGTAATGAATCTTTTACACTCTAATAAGCCTAAGGTTTGGGAAAACAGAGATTGGATAAATTGAGAAAATATATTAAATTTAATCTAATTAAATTTTAGGTTTCAGATCAATACACTATGGCTATATTAAATTATCTTCCTAGTGCAATTTTAAAGAAACAATTCTTGTAGGATGTGGTCACCCTACAAACAGCATAGGGGTATTAAGTCAAATCTTATTAGGACAGATGGCATTACAATGAAAAGAAATTCATATTACAAATATTTTTGTGATTTCAAGCCATGTTTCTTAAAACAATTACAACACACAGAAACAATTTAGGTAATAATGGAATTTGATTAGTAATATTTTCTAGCCCCTTAAAAATATCCCAAATATTTTTAGTTATGATGAACATTTCAAGTGAATGAAAAATATAGCAATTATAAAATTATATCAATGTTACAGACTACATTATAATACAAATGAGTTTAAACTCCATAGTTTAAAATTAAAATTACAAAAACAAATCCGGATACCTCCTTCAGTCCAATTCCATAGGTCTGGGGATCACAATTGGCTCGCAAATCAAACTTCTTATATAATTGCTTGGCTAGATGTCCATGGCACCCCTCTGCAAAAACTGTGACTTTTGCATGTAGTTCTAGTCCTCTCTCAAATGTTGTCTAAAAAATAAAAAAAATAATGTTAAATTGCAGCATTTGACAATTCAAAAAATATTCACAATCTGGTCAGTTTTGAATTGAACTATGATTCAGGTATAGAAGAAACAATACAAATACATAATACTAGAAATAAAACTACTGTTGTAAGTGGAATCTAATTTAAATTTTATAATATATCCTATGTCTTTGTTTTATTTTTCTTTTTTACTTCCAAAGTACCTGAATGGTTAAGTGTGTAAGAATTAAAAAAGCAAATAAAGCATGCTCATGCTAAAAATATTCTCTACAAATGAAAATAAAGTGAAAAGTGAAAATCCATTTCCCCCCTGCTCCTGGTTTTCCAGCTCAATCATCTGAAGCAAAAAACACTATCAAAAGCTTTCTTGTGAATCATGACAGAAAATTTCCATGAATAAAAAACCATATAGAGCCTATTAATATCCTTCTAACACAAGTAGAATGATACTAAATATACTCTTTAGTTACTTGCTTTTTTCACTTTAATTTTACTTGTTCTCTATTGCTGAATGTATATTCTAAAACAGAATTTTTTTTCCAAGTGGAAAAAAAGCCGTAATTAAAGTCTTTACCTCTCTTTTGCTCTCTGTATTTTGTACTTACACCTACCACAAGGCACTCAATAAAGTTACTTAATAAAGGAATACAGAATAATCAGTGAAGTCTCTTATGAAATATATCTTTTCTGATAGTTCTCTATTCATTCTATGTGCATGTCTGTGTATATGCAAAGACAAAAAGTAGTTTTACACTGAGTTTTATAACTGTTTTCACATTAGTTGAATGTATACACCAAGAAAAGAATTCTTTTTTTTTAAATAGAGAGAGCTCACGAGGAGGGATTGGGGCAGAAGGAGAGTCTGGAGAGAGATTCCTAAGCAGGCTCCATACCCAGCACAAAGCCCGATGCTGGGCTCAATCTCAGGACTCTGAGATCATGAGGTGAACCAAAATTAAGAGTAGGGCGCTCAACTGACTGAGCCACCCAGGCGCCCCTAAAGCATTCATTTTTAATGCTTGAATAGATTCCCCTAATTTTTCAAATAATTTTCAATACTGGGACAGTTAGGCTGTTCTAGTGTGTTTCACTATTATAAAGCATTGCCTAGATGAATATACTTGGTGCTAAATATTTTCAGTCTGAATGGTAAGAATTATCTCATTATTAATTTAATAAATTGATTACTACAAAGTCTGAACATCTTTCACACATTTATTGGTAACTATTTTTTTCTTGTGCAATGCTTATTAGTGTCATATATATGCATACATGTATATTACACTTACATACACATCCTGTAATTTCACTCAGTATCTTTTTATTTTGTTCTTGCTTGCTCACTCTCATTATACTTCACTCATCCATAAACCATGTTAACAATCCAGTATGTACAGTTTTACCCAAATATCTAAACACACATACATACTGAGATACATATACACTTAAGCTTTTTTGGTTCCTGATTTATTTTACAAAAAATAGGATAATTTAATACTGTATCTTACTTTTCTCACTTAAGAATACTTCATGGAAATCTTTTTACACCATTGTAGAGCTCAAATCTTTCTCTTCAATGGCTGGATAGTAGTCCATGTGAAAATACCATAGCTTATTCATCTATTCTGCTAATGTTTAATAGCCATTCACTCTGTTCCCAGTTTATTTGTGACCAGAAACAGTTATAAAACATACACCCTTGTGTATATACCTGTATCTATATATATATTCTTTTTTTTTTTTAAAGATTTTATTTATTTATTTGACAGAGAGAGAGAGATAGCGAGAGCAGGAACACAAGCAGGGGGAGTGGGAGAGGAAGAAGCAGGCTTCCTGCCGAGCAGGGAGCCCGATGTGGGACTCGATCCCAGGACCCTGGGATCATGACCTGAGCCGAAGGCAGACGCTTAACGACTGAGCCACCCAGGCGCCCTATATATAGATATATTCTTATAATATTGGTGCTTTTATTCCTGTAAGGTAGATTCCCAGGAGTGGCACTGTTCGATCAAAGGGCACACCTATTTTTATTTTACAATATTACCAGTTTGCATTCCACCAGCAGTGTATAAGAAAAGCCTTTTCCCACAGTATGAAGGTTACCCTACAACCCAGCAATTGCACTAATGGGTATTTACCCAAAGATACAGATGTAGTGAAAAGAAGGGGCACATGCACCCCAATGTTTACAGCAGCAATGTCCACAATAGCCAAACTGCGGAAGAAGCCAAGCTGTCCTTCAAAAGATGATGAATGGATAAAGAAGATGTGCTTCATATATACAATGGAATATTGCTCAGCCATCAGAAAAGATGAATACCCACCATTTACGTCCATATGGATGGAACTGGAGGGTATTATGCTAAGTGAAATAAGTCAATCAGAAAAAGACAATTATCGTATGGTTTCACTCATATGTAGAATATAAGAAATAGTGCATAGGATCATAAGGCAAAGGAAGGAAAACTGAATGGGAAGAAATCGGAGAGGGAGACGAACCACGAGAGACTCTTAACTCCGGGAAACAAACTGAGGATTGTGGAAAGGGAGGTGGGTGGAGGAATGGGATAACCAGGTGATAGGTATTAAGGAGGGCACATGATGTGATGAACACTGGGTGTTATACACAACTAATGAATCACTGAACACATCAAAAACGAATGATGTACTATATGTTGGCTAATTGAATTTAAATTAAAAAAAAAAAGAAAAGCCTTTTCCCTACAGTCCAGTTACTGAGAGATATAACTGTTTATTTTACATTTTTGCTAAGTACAGTGCTAAGTCACTGTTATTTTAAGTTGCATTTCCCTGATTACTGTTTTAAGCACTTTTTCCCTTTTTGAGTCAAGAAATATTAATGAGTACCTACAGTGTGCCAGGTTTTATGCTAGGCAATGGGAATACAGAGATGAATAAAAGTCAGGTCCTTTTCCTCCAGGCTAGTCATAGAGGGAGATATTAAAGAAATACATGAGCATATAATTACAAATTATGATTAAGTGCTATGAAAGAAAGCACAGGGTGTTATGAGAGGGAATAAAAGAAGGAAACTGTCAGGGACTGGGTGAACAGGAAAGGCTTCTTTGAAGAAATGACATTTAAGCTGTGGACTCTGAAGAAAAGATACTTAAGTATCTTTCCTTATGAGTTACAGTAGTCATCTGGATTTGCTCTTCTGTGAATTGTCAATTTTTTAGATATTGCTCATTTTTCTAAAATGCTGTCTTTTTTCTTAATGTATATGTGCTATTTGATATTACGGGTAATAAAAAAAAACCCAATCGACTGTTTATCTATAGACTTTATAGTAACTTTGGTATACAGAAGTGTTTAATTTTTATACAGTTAAAAAGGTCTCTTACAGGTTTATTATTTCTTGTCTCTATAGGATGGCTTAGCTTCCCTTTAGGTTATAATTGTAATCTAGGTTTCCTTCTAATTTTTTTATTGTTTTAAGAAATCCTCAGAATTTTTTAAAAAAATAAAGGCCCAACTCTATTTGTTTCCAGATGGCCATCCGGTTTTCCTGGCATCAATTATAAAACAATTCAATCTTTTTTTCTTTTTTTAAAGATTTTATTTATTTATTTTATTTATTTATTTTAAAGACAGTGAGAGAGAGAACACAAGCAGGGGGAGTGGGAGAGGGAGAAGCTGGCTTCCTGCTGAGCAGGGAGCCTGATGAGGGGCTCAATCCCAGGACCCTGGGATCATGATCTGAGCCGAAGGCAGACGCTTAAAGACTGAGCCACCCAGGTGCCCCTAAAACAATTCAATCTTGATGAACTAAAATGTTACTTAATATATTTCAGCTTCCTCTTAGAGGCAGTATGTCCCCTAGTTTTCAAGGGGCAGGCCCTGGAGCCAGCCACACTGTTTATATTCAAACCCCAGCCCCACTATTTATAGCTGTCTGATCTTGGGCAAATCACTTAACGTCTGAAACTTAAAAATGTCCAAATCAGAATTCTTATAATAAGATGGCCATTAGATGTGGCACAGAGTTACTGAATAAGCAGTAGGACATAGGATTCTGGACTTGGGTATTTAGAGCCATGTGACCAGATGTGTGTATGCCTTCACAGCGTGCTCATGACATTCGGTTACAAAGGTGGTGTGAGAAGCCAACCGTGTCAGTGCTGCCTACTAGGATATCAAGTAAAAAAGAGAAGTGATTACTGGGTTGACAAGGTGGGGGTATTTGTGACTCCGACAAGCTGTTTCAGTGAAATGGCAGGGAAGAAAGCCTAACTAGGTGTGTTAAATAGAGTGGAACAACAGAATAAACACAGTTCTCAGTTCTCCCCACGTCAAACCTGTGGCACTAAAACAGTTATTTTAAAAATTTAGATTCTGGAGCTCATATCACCAAGACTCCATGTACTCTTCTATGTTTTTATATCTATATGAATACAATATAGGAAAGATATGTTTCTTTTTTCTTTTTTTTAAGATTTTATTTATTTGTCAGAGAGAAAAGAGAGCACAAGCAGGGGAAGTAGCAGAGGGAGAGGGAGAAGCAGGCTTCTCCCTCTGAGCAGGGAGCCCGATGCGGAACTCAATCCCATGACCCTGGGATCATGACCTGAGCTGAAGGCAGACGCTTGACCGACTGAGCCACCCAGGTATCCCAGGAAAGATATGTTTTTATAACTACAAAGCCCAAAACACAAAAATTTACTTTTGAACAAATTTGAGAACGTACAAAAAATGACATATCAGAATAGTAGAACTTGTGTGCCTCAGTTCTGTTGTAATATTAAATATAAAAATCTTAAAAGAATAAAGTACACTTTAAAATTAAATGACCACAATACAGGAAAGAATAACTATAACACAGGAAAGAATACAGGAAAAACAATATTCTTTTATCATTATGAAAAGCAGTAGGAGATAATAGTTGTTTACAAATCTAGCTATGCACCAGAATTCTTTGGGGGCTTGTTAAGAAATAGCTTCTTGGGCCTACTATAGGACACAATGAGTCCCAGACCTCACAGAATTCTGATGAAACCAGCCAAACACTTAGAAGAACAATGAAGTAGGTAAGACTCAAGAGTTTTGCCACTTGCTTATCTCTAAGCAGGAAGTAATGAGAAGCAGGAAAATCCACTGGAGGAGACTCAACTAGATTCCCCATTGTATTCAAGAATGGCAGAGAGAAGGATAAATTCTAAGTTAACAAATACTTATTGAGGACCTGACATGACATGGCGCTATGGTAGGCACTGGAGTAATCCTCCATGATCTCTGCCCTTATGGAGCTTATGATCCAGTTGAGAAATTATGACAATGAGCAAATAAATATGAATTGACAAATTAATTTACTGAGATGTTAATTTATGTTTTGTTCTGTTATTATGGGAAAGCAAGGTGTTTTTTTCTTATCCTTTCCAAGGAATCTTACACAGTGAGAGATCCAGATCCTGAGAGGTTTTCTTTTGCAAATTCAAAAATAAAAGTTGTAAAACCTGAAAACCATCCAGGATTATATCTGAATGAGAGGAAAGCAATCAGTTTTATATTTGCCAAGAGATATTAAAATCACTCAAAGACTCTATCAGCATTACTAACAGTAATGCAAATGATTCTTGTCCATAGAAATGAAAATTATGGAAGTGGCAATGCAGTTGACTGATGACCTACATATATGTATGTTTTTTTAATTCTCCTTGAACTGGCTGTAACATATTATTGATTCTGTCATTTATTAATGAGTGAAATAAAATCTTTGTCCCATGTTTGTTTTATATTTGTATGAGTCATGTTTTTATCTTTAAAAAAAATTATTCTTAAACATGTTATATCTTCTTGTCTAAGTCCTTTTTAGTTCAAAGATGCCTCTATATTTTTTTAAGAGAAAAATTCCACATTAATAATTATATTCTAACATATACTTTATTAATGTGCAGTTTGTAGCAAAGCTAAATTATTGCATTTAAGTCGATTCTTTTTTTGTCAGTTTGTTAAGCACATAACTGTTAAAATGTTTACCTTTGGTGCACCATCCTTTTGTATCCCTACATCGTTAGTGGCAATTCCTTTTACACTGCTATCTTCGTGAAAAAGTACCTAAAATGAAAACATATTTGGTTATCACCTTAGAGGATTCATAACCAACCTGAAAAGAAGCAATAGATATTTAAGAAAGTGAACATGTTCTCTAGATTACAGAAATAACAGGCTTTAACATGTTTAGGCAAAAAAAGAGACATGTTTTAAAGATACTCCCTTCTAGAGTATAAAAGAACACAGCTCAAACAGTTGGAAATGAAAGAAATGCCACAACCTTGATGAAGAAGAAAAGGGGGAAGCTACTACAGAGGTCACTTAAGAAACCAGTGAGAATAAACAAAGAGCTCTGAAGAGATCAGGTATCAAAAACAAGTATACAGACCCTGAAATCAGGGCCTCTAACAAATGAAGACCATCAGTGTTGGGTGGGAAGACAACAGTGTCAGGAAAGCCTCTGTTCCAAATGAGCGAAGATCCCAAAAAAACAAAAACCAAAGCAAATGAAACAAAACAAAACACAAAGAGGTTCAAGACAGTCCGAAGGTGATTAAAGTTTATTTCTGGTGCAAGCAGTATTGGCAAAAACTTATCAAAATTGTAATTCTGAGGATGAGAAATAGCAATATTCTATAATTCTTACTTAGTTTCTGTTTCTTCTCCAGAGGAAAATGCCCTTTAGATAGGAAGTACAAAATATACATTAGACACACAGAAGGCACAGGAGTGGAAAGGTAAAGCAAGCATTAGCAGCAATGGATATGAAAAGAAAAACATAAACCTTTTATTTCATACCCTGAAAATGAATCAACAGTATAACCTGGCTTTGAACTAAAACTGAAGTCTGGCTCAGAGATAAAAAAAACTTGACAAACCTGACATTAATCTATTGATGATGATCTTTAAGGGACTGAGGAAAAGAGGAGAGTTATGACACTGTGTGTGTATGGGGTGTGTGTGTGTGTGTGTATAAAAACTGAAAATCATAGATTCTATAAATCACCTACTTGTGATTTTGATATTAATCCCAGTCAAGAACATTTTAACCAGGAGAAATAAAAAACCCACACTTGGGTCCAAAAACCCAAATGTATGTATGTATGTATATACCTGACTTCCTGCTTGTCAAAAAATTACAAGAAATTTTATTTTTTTCTCTGGATAAAGACAATTAACTTGTATGTAATGGATTGTATCTGTGTGGCTATGTAAGAGGGTGAGATTTCTTCGTCTTGGCAATCTCCCTAGCAGAGTGCCTGTGACATGCACTGCACTCCTGGTTTAATGCTTACTAAATAATAAAACTTTTAAATAATTTATAGAGGTGATTTTTCTGGGTTGGCAGGATATTTATTTTTAGTCATTTCCCCACTAATACTTAATGAGAGTTAACTCTATGATATGTGTGCCAAAAGAGTTATTTGGAGAGAATTAACAGAAGAACAGTTTCTAGAGTGAAGAAAGCAAGAGCCCTGCTCTACACTAGACTTGAAGTAGTTTTTTCATTCTGGATGCCACTTTATAAAGGGGATAAAAAGGCAATGCATTCAGAGTGCACTGAGAATACTGAAGGAACTCAAACTAATGTAACATCATGGTTGAAAGAACTGATAATATTTAACCTAGGAAAGAAAACGACACCAGAGTGAAAGTGGGGAAGAAGAGAGTGGGGCATAATTATAATTGGAAAACTGTCCTTGGAAGAGGGCATTGATTTGTTCTATGTAGTGTAAAACAGAAGATATATTTCCATTCAACAGAAGAAAGAGAATATTATCAACAATCCAAACGTCAGATAGAGATGATCTCATCCCTGATGGTGTTCAGTCATAAATTAGACAATCACATGATATATATACATACAAGATCAGGAATTCAAGTACTCTTTGGATTAGATCTTTCCAAGATTCCTTCTAATCTTACAATTCTAAAATCCTATGGCTTTTCTAAAATATTTATTTACCTCTGTACCATTCTTGGTTTATATTCAAAAGAAAAAGAGATTATTTCCCAGAAATATTAAAAACAAAATACAACTATACAAACCTCAGCAGCAGCATAACCAGGGTATACTTCAACACCAAGGGCTTCTGCTTGTTCTCCCATCCAGCTCACTAAATGTCCCAAGCGTACAATGTAATTGCCATGATTATTCATTGGAAGACCTACAAATACATGCTTAATTTATCAATCTGACATTTTATCGGTAAAACATCTCAAAAACATAAATACTTAATTTAAAAATTCTAAGCAATGTGTAATTTCTGTGTAAATATACACATCATCCTATGGTCATGATTTCACTTATATTCTACAACTTTGGCATAGAGTTCTAATTATTAAATTAAAAAAACATTACAACACTACATTAAAATTCTGGGTTGCCTTACAAGGCTAACCCAATTCTTCTAGACTGGAAGACGAACTAGGTTCTAGTCCTGTTTTACTACAAGCTAGCTATATAACTTTGGGTTAGTCCTTCAATCTCTGAGCATCAGTTTTCTCATCTGTAAAAAGAAAAGATTTCACCAGATGAAATGTGGTTTCCTCCAGGTACGGAATTCTATGATTCTACAAATATTTATCATACCCTACCTGGAAGAATTGGCACAGGAATTCTGTATTTCTTTGTTAAAATTCCAAATCTGTCTTCTGTTACAGGAGTGTTAAGTGGAGCCTAAAAACAAAAGAAGGAAAGAGAAGGAAGTTTTTAGTTCATATTCATAATGGTAAATACAAATAATAAAAAAACTGTGTCAAAAGGGAAAGTGAACTACTCTCCTCACTTTTCTCTCATCATTTCCTTTAGAAAACTTGGAACTGTAAATCCTCTTTGTCTCTTTGAGATGTATGGGAATCTTTTTAGAATCTAAATAAGCCAGTTTTATATGCCAGAAATCTTTCTTGGGGGCCTTGGAGACATCTTGGATAGGGCTTCCTGTCTCCCTGTCTCTGTGGGAGTTTAGCCTAGGTGCTTGCTCCAAGTTGTAACTTCCTGCTTGATGAAAACATAAGAGAAGTTTTATTTTTCCTTTGGATACAGACAATTAACAGGTATATCATGGATTGTATCTGCTCAGTTATATAGGGCTCTGAAAACCTTTTTCTATTACAACTGCTATGTCAATAATAATTCAATAGTATCTATTTTTGGTATAATATTGAAAAGAGAAAGTTAATTAGATATAACTAAAGTATTTCTAGTTTAAAGGATCTTGGTATTTTAGAAAGAAGAACATAGATGAAATTTTTGGAATTCAATTTACTCCATAAATAATAAAGAAATCATGTAATTTTTTACCTTTACATAGTATATTCACAGGTAGTGAATATTCTAACCTTGGCAGGCATAACATAACCCATCTTACAGAAGAAAAAGCTAAGATATGTAACATGTAAAATTTTAACCAAAGCCATACAAATTATGAAAGGAGTAAAATTAACATTCAGTTCTCTGTATATCATACCAGTGCCTTTTCTTCTTAGGTTATGAGAGGCCATATTAATTTATTCTTTAGAACATCTGATTAGATTATCCTCTTTGGTTTTAGATATTACAATGTCCCAGGAAATTTACATAAAACTTTATTAAGAACAATGATATAAACACCTATGGAACAAGTTAGGAAATACTCTCAAAATCAAAATGCTGTATTTTATTTGGTACAAATATTCTAGTATCTTCTCAAGATAAGACCTTCTCGCATATCCAGTACATAAATACAACATGTAGAAGACATTATACGAGTGTATGAGTTAATATCTTAAAATTATAAGTATAGTTGATATGATTCCATTTTTTGGCTCTTTTTAAGTTAAGAAATACATATCTATAATAATCCTTTAAGAGACAGAATTACATAAAAAGGGTTTTCTATATTCTAGTAGTTTGGAACTAGAGATACGATAAAGATTACATTTTGTATAAGAACCAATTTTTCATACTCCCTTTTCCTTCCAGTCTGGGAATAATTCTTCAAAAGCACGTGGATCAAGGCAAGCCCCTGAGAGAGTATGAGCTCCTATTTGAGCGGCTTTCTCTACTAGACACACACGGATGTCCTTTTCATGTTTAGTAGCCAATTGCTTTAGACGAACAGCTGCAGAGAGTCCTGCAGGGCCTGCGCCAACTATAACTACATCTGCTTCTTCTGCAAACCTCTCCATGTTCACTCCTGGGAGGAAAAAATGATTTAAAAAACACATGAAAATTCTGGGATGACTATGATCTGTTAAAAATCACAAACTGGGTTACAAACACTCACTATGCTTTAGAGCATTTATAGAAATTGCCCCTCTGCTTTGTATGAGAATTATACTAAATATATTATTGTATTAATTGGATGTTCTCTTAGGTTCTGTTCCAGTATATATCTTATTTTGCTTCCATAAACCAACTTTTGGCTTTGAGATTTACTACTACAAACTACGCAGGTATTTTCTTATCTCAATATCAATATGTAATAGATTTGGTAAAGCTATGAAATATTATTAGATGATTTTATACTATCATGACAAATATTTCCACAAAATGATACAAAGTATCTAGAAAAGCCTTAACACTTCTACAGAAATTATTACTTACCTTCCCATCGCTTGTCCTTATCCCGGGGATAAATAGTATAGTGGGTAGTAATTCGAGGTACAACAGAAGTTGAAGACCATCTTGTTTGACACAGAGGTAGATAATTTTTCTTAAATTTTAAGGCATGAAAGCACTGATATGCTGCACAAAAATTATAAACATTAGTATTATTTTTTCAATCAGCTTTCCTCAGAGTAGACTAAAAAAACCATTTTTTTAAAAGGAAAAAATTCTAGGATTGGGAATCAGATCTGGTTTCTATTTAATTTTCTATTAATTAGCCCTAAGACCTTAAATCATTACCTTCTCTAGATTTCAGTTTCCTCATCCCAAAATAGGAAAGGTCACTAGATGATCTCTAAGGTACTTTTCTCATCTAAAATTGTATGATTCCACGTGATGTCTTATATTTGGAAATTTGTGTTTATAGTCTCACCATATCAACACTACAGACAGTGAATAGTTAGATCTAGGTTGTTGAGCCATTAGTTGTGATATGACCTGAAATAGACTGTACTATTTCCTAGATGAACAACTTAGCTTCTTCTCATAAAGCAATGTTTTCAAACTATATTTAAAAAATATCAAATAAACTAACTTATTCAATTTAGCTCATATCAAGCTTAACCTATAAATAGGATGACCATAAAATTTATCAACCAAACTGGATACTTTTTTTTAAAAAAAGATTTTATTTATTTGTCAGAGACAGAGAGAGCGTGCGCACACAAGCAGGGAGAAGAGCAGGCAGGGGGAGAAGCAGGCTCCCTGCTGAGCAAGGAGCCTGATGTGGGACTCGATCCCAGGACCCTGGGATCATGACCTGAGCCAAAGGCAGACGCTTAACCGACTGAGCCACCTAGGCTTCCCTAAACTGGATACTTTTGAGAGTAATAACGGGCAGTATTAATGATTATGCTGGGACAATGTGGGCTAAACTAGGTTTTATGGTCAGCTTTTTAAAAACCTGACTCTCCCATATGGCAATATCTGTACATATTCATCAAGTTAGCAAACAGAAATAAACAGAAGTGTGCAAAAATTTATCTGCAATAATGTTCATTAAATCTCTGTTATCCTTAAACCTTCAATTCTACTTCTTCCTTCCCCTATCTGAAGCAGATACCCTAACACACCAAACATCAATGAAAGATAGAAGCAATTAAGTGGGAACTTTCCTATATCCTTGGCAACAACCTCTAAAGTAATCTGTATTTGTGTCCACTCTTTGTTCATTTTCTCAGGTTATAACATATCTTTTCACTTAGATTACTGATGATGAGGCTTATCTCTCCCATTTTCATAGGGACATCCCTCCACCTGAAGCCTTCGCTTTCACCTGTATCTTTAATTTCTGTCTCCCTTCTCTGGTACTCTTCTCCTTGACACTCTATCCCATTATATAAAAAAAAGGACAGAGAATACTTCCTTGGAAATAGCCCTGACAGATATAAAAACTTATATTTGGAGTTAGAGTAATTAAAAGTCTGTTAAAGGAGAAGAGATATGATAATCAAAGGAAAGGAAAGGAATAAAGAGTTCAGAAATAGAATACACATAGGACTTGGTTTATGCTAAAAATACCATTTCTAATCAGGGAAAAGAAATGGTTACTCATTAAATGGTCAAAGATAGGGAGAAATTCATTTGGAAAAAAAGTATACCTTCCTCTTCCTATCAAAATGAATTCCATTTGGTCTATGGTTTTAACAGAAAAAGTCAAAGTATAAAAGATTATGTTGATATGTCCACAGATTATTTGTTTCTCCACTTTTGAGCGTGGACTGCAACTAGTGACTAGCTTCCAACAAGGAGAGTACAAAAGGGAAAAATATTAACTTTACAGTGGAGAAATATAGCAGACCCTTTAACCAAATGATCAAGTTTAACATTACTGGCAATAAGACATGTTGGTATCACACGCTCCCTGATAGGATAAGAAGGGCTTTTTACCTCTGTGGCATACTTCCCCAAAATCTGTATCCTCAGTTTAAACATGAGAAATCATCAGACAAATTCAGATTGAGTGACATTCTACAAAATGCCTGGCTAGTATATAATATTGAAAGTAGCAAGGTCATGAGAGACAAGAAAAGATACATTACACATGTCAAATATATATAAAATGTACAACATAGAGAGTGAATTCTAATATAAACCATGGACTTGAATAATGATGTATCAAAATTGGCTCACCAATTGTAACAAATGTACCACACCAATGCCAGATGTTAATAGGGAATGGGGGAAAGTTACATGGAAACTCGTGTATTTTCTGCTCAACTTTTCTTTAAACCTAAAACTGCCAAAAAATTAAGTTTATTAATTAAAAACAAAACAAACAAATACAAAAGGGCAACATGGAAAAAGACAGTGGTTAAGTGCATAGGTTTTGGAGTCTGTGTACATTGTGTTTGAATTCATTAACAGTAATGAAACCTTCAGCAAGTGATTTTAACTCTCACCCCATCAGTTCTAAAGCCTATGGTCAATTTTGTCTTGGAAATATTATGGTAGAAGATCTAGTATAACTCTTACACAAAACAAGTGGCTAATACATATTTGATAACTAGATAGATACCTTCCTAGTTACATTTTTCACTGTAATTTAGGAACCTGCAAATCTCTGGTGTAATTTCCAAAAACTAACCTGGGTTATAGAGCAATAAATATAATGAGGCCTTTCCTCATTTTTAACTTGTCTCTTATAATGAAGCATGTATCTGCAAATGAACAAGTTTCTAAAATGGACTATAACAAATAATTAGTAAAGATCAACAAAGACTTTTGCATGGATTTGAAATGTAAAATGTAATAAAATTTACATTTTAATGGATATACTGAACAGTTAAGAATTTTCAATTATAATATCACACCTTATCCTTCAGGACCTTATGAAAATTGTGGGGCAGCTACAATGCCCATTTACAGTAGATACATATGAATTCAGACGATCCCACCCAAGCTCTCAATCCTTCCAACATCAGTCAAGCTCTGAGACTACAATTGGATTTGAAATGATTTGTGAAGTAATGGAAACTGAGCTGTGATGAAAACAAGATTTTTCTTTCTTTTTTTCTGATTAAATGGAGAGAGAACAGCCTGGCACATAGGCTAGTTATTATTTAGCACCCAAATGCAGAATTAACATATTTTTATGTTTTACTCTTTCCAATAAAATAATTTTTTAAAGCAAAAATCTGGCATCAGACGTCAATAAAGATTATGATGAATACAGGAAGGGAAGAGATTTAGAGTGGCTGAACTCTAAAGGCTTTTAAACACTAAAAAAATCTGTTTTTGATAATCTTATAGTGGCAAGGAAACTAATTTTCTCTACTTGCAAAGGCATACTAAAAATTATAGTATTGGGAATAATTTTTTAATTATTAGGTAACCTTTCACATATCCTAAGTCTTGAAAAAATGTACATAAGGCACATAAATAAAGATATTATAGGAGAATTCAGTTCTAGAGTTCAAATAAAGCATTATCATCATTCAAAAGAATATTTATTAAATAATTATTTGTATTATTTATTATTAAAAGATATTAAAATCTTTGTCTTATGATGAATTGTAGTTTAGTGTGTACAAGTTATCATTTGCTGCTGAAAGTGATGATTTGGTATCAGATAAAAGTAATTCTATTGCTTATATAGCTAGTTATTTTCTTGAGAATATTTGGAACTGGGTAGTTTGATTTCCCCCACGGGATAAAAATTAAAAAGTCACAACCTTTACTCCCTTTCTGAAAACAAATCTGACATTCCACTTTGGGTATCTGAACAGTTAGGCACCTTGGCTGAATTTTGGTAGAGAAGTAAGGTCAAAAAGTCCATTGAACTCATAACATCACCATATCAAAGTCACACTGCCAACACATTTGTGTCCATCTCTTTGCTGCCAGTAGTGTGAACACTCAGGTATGAAAATGGCAATGATTTAAGTATCCATGGAAAATGGAAATGCAAATTTTAGTGGACTGTAATTAACACTTGGTCCAAGAATGATTTCAGCTAAATTAGGCAATAGGGCAGACAGCATCTGACTACTTTGATATTTCACAAAACATAAAGTGTATCTATCTACACATTAGGTGTAGTAATACATGCACAAGTATCAGGAACTTTAAATAAAATTCTAATTTAACCTATGGTGGCCAAATCTGACAAACTTCTACTTTCATGAAATATACATAATAAGAACATCCTTGAATTTGCAGTATGTATACTTGTTTATTCTATAACCAAATATTAATTTAAAAAACTAAACCAAAAAAGCTAAGCCAAATGTGACAAAATGCAAGATCCTGTACTGAACCTTTTTGAATTTTTAAACTTTTAAGTAAAACAAAACAAAGACCGTCCAACTGCATTATTATTTTTACTTAAGAGAAAGGGAAGGTAATGAGGTATTTTCACAAGTCACCGTGATGGTTCTAGGAGCACCCATAACACGATAAGCCTCTAAAGTTAATTTTAGACAATGCAGAAAAACTCCTGGCTCCAAATATAATCTGGTGACTTGGGTAGCGCATATGGATGTTAATCATGCTGTGACAGATCAGACTTTAAATTCTTAAGAATGGACTAGGATGGATGGCTGCAAAGACGAAAGTCAGGGCACAACCAAGAAGAAAAACCGTGCAAGTATTATTTTATCCATTTCCAACAATGCAACAGAAAACACCTGAGCTTTGGGTAAGAGTTAGGACCAGGATTTGGAAGATTCAGCTCGGGAGTCCACCGGAGGGCCGTGTTGCTAAGTTTCCTCCGCTCGTGACCTTTAGCCTAGTTCAATTCTTCCAATTGAGGCAACTCTATGGGGAGGAATCTAGGATCCACTGCCAGGTGCAGACAGCGTGACCTTTACCCGAGTTTAACCTGAGGACGTCAGGAGAGCAGGTGCAGAAAGGTAGGTGTCTAGATTCCCCCCACGTGTAGCCCTGTCCGTTTCGCCCTAACTCCTCGACCTTCCTCCACTTATCCCCGCCCGGAGTTCCCTCTCACCCGGGCAGGAGAGCTTGGCTAGCGGCACCAACATATTCACTGGTCCCAGGACTCTCGGTGGGACACAACGGAAGGGCTGTCTGTGGCTCACCGCGGGTGCTGGACCTCTAGGCCGCGGGGGGCGCCATCACCTGCCGAAAAAGACAAACACCTCCACTGAAGTTTGCCTCCCAGCTATGCCCAACGCTTTGGCTTCACGGTGCTCCCGCCTCTTTCTCGCTCTGCGCCGGCGCCGCACATGACGCTATGGCCAGCAGAGACATCCGGGTCACGTTCCGAAGGAGGAAAAGGAAAGGGACTCCAAGTCCCAGCACGATCCCGGCTTCAAGCTGAGGATTGGTTCTCCGTTTGCGTCTCACCAAGACATGGTGAGGACGCGGGAGTGCAGGTGAGAGAGACCCACAGATCCCGTGGTATACGCGCGCATCAAAAGTAGTGGGAGGTGGAGCGACGCATACAGCATTCTGGGAGTTGTAGTCCTCTACTGAAGTGCCTTCCGAGCCTGACTGGAGTTTTGCGCAGGCGCGATGAACCGCCCAAGGTGATTGGCTGTCCCGAAAACATGACTGGTATTCGCGGACTTGGGCGGAGACCCACAAGGAGACTGGGCGGGACTTCAGGCGGGAGGAGGCGGGGCTTCTGGGTGTTGGGCGCGAGCAGTTTGAAAGACAGTTGGTGTTGGTTCGGCTGCCAAGGTCCGATTCCGCAGTGCCAGCCCTGCTCAATGGCAGACCCTGAGGAGGTGCGGATTTCTTCGCCGCCCCCGCCGCCTCCTTCCTCTCCCTCGTCTTCAGACGCCTCCTCGTCAGCATCTTCCCCCGGCGTTCCAGTGAGTTTGGGCTGGCCGGTTGCGAGCAGGAGCAGCGGCCGAACGGTGGACCCTCTGGAGGAAGTAGAGCTGCAGATTGGAGACGTGAGTGTCGCTCGACAGGTCCCGGGCTGCGTCCCCACTTGGCCCTTGTGGAAGACAGACCGTTGCTGTGCAAGGGAGGGAAGGACCAGGAATCCGCATCTCGCCCTTCTGCCCCTGAGGGTGTGGGCTGGGGGGTGGGTAGGTAAACCGGAGACCCGATGCCCCCTGTCCACCATCCCTGAGGACTCCGCCTTTAGAATCAGTGTTGAGGAGTGAGGGGTTATCCCTCCACCCGCCCCACCCTTCACTGTTCTCTTTTTGTCTCGCCTCCTGGTTTCAATCATGCTCTGTAACCTGAAACCACGCAGCTTTGCTGCGCCGGCGCGTGTTGGCGGTGTCTGCCCTCTATTCCTCCTCCTTGTCTGTTGGTGCCTTGGAACAGGCTGTGATTTCTTTTCGTGGGTCTTAAGATCCCGCTGCTCTAGTTGGCCACCTGCCAGAGCCTGCTGGCGATGCTACGATTGCCTGTCTCAGGCTTGCTTCGCGCTGGACCCATTTGGAGGGTTTGCTTAAGGCGCGTGTAGTCCAGATTGGTTTCATTAACCGCTAGGTCAAAGGCCCCTCCCTATGACTGCTGGAGTGCATAGTGTGGTTTCTGTTGAATCTCGAACTCCACTGCCACACACACACACACACACACACACACACACACAGTCACACCCACCCACCCACCCAGAGGAGTTTCAGTATATAAGGACTCTTGGGTGAGTCAAGTGAATGAGGTATGTAGGATGTAATCCTCCTGGGAGAAGTTTGTGGAATAGACTCTCCTGTGCAGATTGGAAACTGGGTAATGAACTCGGTTATCTCTCATTGCTTAATAAGTACTTTTTTAAAAAGATGACTAAAGTGCTGATACAGCTTCTGCTTTTGTTGAACGAGACTGGCATCAAGAGAATATGTAGAATGGGCTGCTGATAGGTTATCTAGAAACAGTGTTATTTTATATTCTAGGTGAAGAAAACATTTGAGTAAGAAGTGAATTCCACCAAGAGTTGGGTATTTTCTGTACGCTGCTTTTGTTTGTTTTGATTTTGTTGATGTTATTTGTCCCTTCAGAGTATCTGTTCTTTGGTCTATACATTTTCATGGTCTATATAGTGTTCACAGGTAAAATTAGTGGGACAATGTCCTTGTTACCTAAATATCAGTGAGTTGTTTGTGATGAAATCCTTCAGATATTGATATCTGGTACTTAGTGTCAAGGGATCCAAGTCCTCTTTTTGAGCTATATGAGTCTAGTGTATTTTCTTTCTTTCTTTTAAAGATTTTGGTTTTGTTTTTTTTTTTTTAAAGCAATCTCTACACCCAGCGTGGGGTTTGAACTCACAATGCTGAGATCAAAAGTCACTTGCTCTCTATGACTGAGCCAGCCAGGTGCCCCTGGTGTATTTTAAGTTAAAAAAAAAAAAAAGTACTGACTTGTTATGTCTGGTGCATAATGGATATCTTCCCAGCAGACATATTTCCTCAACGCTTACTTCATAATAAAGAATTTCTTAGGTTCTCTGAAAAAGCTAGTGTTTCAGTTTGAAGATTTTTTTACCTTTATGGAAAATAAGTTGGGCATGGGAGTCAAAGTTTTAAGCTATTTTTAGACTATTTATAAAATGAGATGAAAATCTGAAAGATACACTTATATGGTTTGACTCTTTTATTTTTTTGAATTTCAGGCAGCATTTTCACTCACCAAACTTCTTGAAGCCATATCTGCAGTATCAGCTCAAGTAGAAGAGCTTGCCTTCAAGTGTACAGAAAATGCACGTTTTCTTAAAACGTGGCGGGACCTCTTGAAAGAAGGCTATGATTCTTTGAAGCCTGACAACTGATTTGGCTGTGTACTAATTCATACGTCCTCATTTATGATGTTTGAACGTGGTATCAGGTTGTCTCCAGCAGTTCTGTGTATTCAGAATGAAATTTTCTGAGTGGTTGTCTCACTTTTGTGAAAGCAGAATACCGATGCTATTTTTGATTCTGGCCAATATTTATCTTTAAATATTTTCTGTCCTCTAAACTTCCATAGACTCTTTTATGAAAGTTAATTTCATCAGTGGATAATGGTAATAATGCTACAGTGTGATCAAACTGAAAGGCTACACTTCCTGGGCCATTGGACTGTCTGTGGCAGATTTGGCAGAAAGTATAATGAAGAATCTTAGGCGGGTGCATCCAATTTCCACCATGATTAAGGGTCTCTATGGAATTAAAGATGTCTTCCTTAGTGTCCCTTGCATCTTGGGACAGAATGGAATTTCAGATGTTGTGAAGGTGACTCTGACTCCTGAGGAGGAGGCCCGTTTGAAGAAGAGTGCAGATACACTTTGGGGGATCCAAAAGGAGCTGCAGTTTTAAAGTTTTCTAATGTACCACTTCACTGTCTAGACTACAACAGGATTTTAGTTGGAGGTTGTGTATATTGTCCTTATTATCTGATCTGTTACTCAAGTAATATTAAAATGGCCTAAGAAGAAACATCCGTTTCCTAAAGTTCCAAATCGGAATGGTTCACCAAACCCTGCAGCTGTATCCTGATGCTGGATGCTACCTGTCTTTGTAGCCCTAAATTGGTTAATGTAAGTTAGCCCCACCGTCTCAGAGTCACCACTGCCAGGACTGCAGAGCTGCGGTCGTGTGTTTACTGTGCGTTCTGTCACTTCGGGTTCCTTCCCCCAACACCCGACATGCCTAGTCCATCTTTTCCAGTCAGTCACATCCTGGGATCCAATGTATAAATTCAGTATTGCATGGACGGTGCATAACTGTTCTGAAGGATCTTATTTTGTGTACCATATATGTCAGAATATAGTGTACATGGCCATATAATGTAAAAAGACAATGCAAGCAACTATCCTAAGTGTCATACCAACTAAAATACCAAATAAATTCTGAACAGTGACTTTTTTGGGAAAAAAAAAAAAAAAAAAAAAAAAAAAGCTACAGTGTTAACCAATAGGAAAAAATGGGTAGACCATTATTCTATTTGATTTCCAAGAAGATGCCAAGAGTTTGAAGTTGAGCTTCATTTTCTGGACCAAGGGAAGTAACTTTAAGGTTACCAGTGTTGGCCCAGCTCCACTAGGCCAACTTCCCTGGGACTAGACATTGTGTCTTCTTTATCTTCAGCACCTAGAACAATGACAGTGTCACACAACAACCAGTAAATGTTTGTTGAATAAAAGAGTTGACAATACAATTAAAAGCTGTCTTTTTTTCCTGTTTTTTAGCGTGAAAATTGTAACTTTTTCTAAAAAGTATTTTAATCAGAACCTCACTGACTTGAAGGAAAACATTCTTTTCTTTACGGGAATTTGAAATTTAACTGATGACAACTTTTTAAAATATATGATAAATACTTTTTATTCTTTTTAAAAAGCTTTTAGTTCAGAAAATAAAAGCCGTCTGGAAAGAATGTATATATATATATATATATATATATATTTTTTTTTTTTTTTTCCCTGTTCTGTTTCTCAGGTTAATTGCTTTGTGATGTTGTATGTTCAATTGTTCTCTTTAAAGTGCCTTATCAAAATTATGGCTCTGTACTATTACTCTTTGAACTTTGCACATAATAATTCTAAATTCTAAACATAATTCTAAAGATACTTTGTTTTTAATGCATCAAATTTAAATGATGTGATTGGTTTCATATTTGACTTTAATGACAATGTTCTACTTTACTTGTCCCATATCTTATTATTGTTCTCTTTTTGTTGGTTTATGTCATATGTGTCAGTGATTAAGCCAACTAATTCTCCATAACTTATAGACATCTTTGATGTGGATCTTAATTCTTTGTCGATATGGAGATGTGTACAGAACTATATTCTAAAGCTCTACAGTGGGGTTATGAAAGGGGACAAATAGATGGACAAAGAATTGTTTAGTATATTAAGTCATAGTTCTTGATTAATTTTTTTTAAGTTAAAAATAACACATATGGTGTGTTTATACCAAAGAGATACTTATTTTGATATTGGAAAAATATTTTTATGTGTCATCAGAAGTGCAGTTTTTAAAATGTACAGAAATAAAAGTGTTCAAAACAAATTTTATTTCCATTTCTTTGGGTTCATTATTTTAAAACTTTTATATAAATATTTCAAGCATAAGAGTAAAATATTAGAGATATATTCCCACCATGCAGATTTAATAAATGTTAGTATTTGGCTATACTTTCTTCAGATCTACATATGTTTGTAAATGTTAGATACATTTGAAACTTTTGTTACCTCTTTGATCCCATCCCTTCTTCTCTCCTAGAGGTAACCATTGTCCTAGAAGTGGTGTATATTCTAGTTTGTGTTCTTATATTTTTAATGCATACGTATGTTTTCAAAGCACTACAAAATACTGTTTTGTGTATGTGGTAGCTAGCCTCCAGATGGCCACAATAGTCAGCCTCCTGGTATTCATGCCCTTGTATAGTCTCACACATTGAATAGTGCTGACTTGTGTATCTACTAGGAGATTGAGGAAACGCAGTGTGTGATTTCTGAGGCCATACCTTTGTCCATTTTTCTATTATGTTTTGTCTTTCCCTTATCAATTTGTAGGTATTACATATTTTGAATACTAAATAATGATCTGTTATCTATGTTTCAACTATCTTTTGTAGTTTGTGATTTATCTTTATATTTGATTGTGGAGTTTTATGAAATAAATGGTTTTAATTTTAATGAAATCTTACCAATTTTTCCTAATAGTGCTTTCTGGGTCTTGATTGGAAATGTCATAAAGGTACTCTCCTTTACATCTTTCCAAAAGTTAAATTTTTGTTTTTAATGTTTAGGTGTTTAATCCATCTGATTTTTGCTTATGGTGTGATTTTGGGATCTTGTTTATTTTTGTATGTGTATTGGTGTTCCTCCAAGTATCAGTATTTTCAAATGCTACCTCTGTCATTCAATTACCATATAAGTGCTTGGTTCTGAGCTCATTATTCTATTCTGATCTATTTGCTTAACCCTATGCTAAGATTCCCTATAACTTTTGTTATAGCTTTATCCTAAGTATGATATGTACTACTTTGATTTTTGTGTGTGTGACTTCCTTCCCCAACCATGTATATATTTTTTTATGTTAGAAAAGAAAAACCATGTTAGTTGATTTCTAATTTTGTTGAATTGTGGTCAGCTGAGGTTAACCCCCGGTTTTAGGCAGTGAGCTTTCTGTGGACACTTAACTTTATTCCTCAGCACTAAAACTCATAGCTGCTAGTGTCAGGAGTCAGGGAGGCCCAGAGCTCAGCTCTGTTTAATTTCTGTTGCCATGTGTGGCCCACAGAGAAGTTCATCTTATTTTTAAGAGTTGCTTTTTAAAAAAGCATTCCTTTTTATATTTCTTTTTGCTCTGCTTCATGGGAGGGGTTGGGAAGGCTTCAAAACATAAACGTTTTCTTAGAGACTTAAATTTTTTTCTTAGTAGCTCATTACCAACTCTATATGAACCTCAGAGGAAAACTTAGTATTTTGACTAATGTAATTAAAGTCTTATGAGGCCAAGGTGAATATGATGAAATTTTTTTTTTAAGATTCTATTTATATATTTATTTGACAGAGCAAGAGAGAGCAAAAGCACAAGCAGGGGGAGCAGCAGAGGGAGGGGGAGCAGCAGAGGGAGAGGGAGAAGCAGGCTCCCCGCTGAGCAGGGAGCCCAACAATGGGCTTGATCTAAGGACCCTGGGATCATGACCTGAGCTGAAGGCAGAAGCTTAACCACCTGAGACACCCAGGTGCCCAATATGATGACATTTTTAATATTAAAAATAATGTGTTTCAAAACTTCTGAGTATGAAATATGTGTTAGGCACTATGCTAGGAGGTTTATAAGCATTATTTCATATTAGCTTTCTGAGGAAAGTGATATTATTCCTATCTACAGAAACAGGATAGGAAAAAGGCTGATATGAAATAATTTGCCTGTGGGTCTCTTACACCAAAATTAATATGCCTGTCTATACCATACCTAGCTACCTAGCTCTTGGTTAGACCTATTAGTATTCAAGCTTACTTTGTGGACTCTCCCCAATCATGATGGTTTATTTTATGTGTCGACTGGGTCACAGGATATCCAGATTTTTGGTAAAACATTATGGGTGTTCCTTTGAGGGTATTCTTGGATGAGATTAACATATTGGTAGGTTGAGTATAGCAGATCGCCCCTGGTAATGTGGGTGAGCTTCATTCAATCAGTTGAAGGCCTGAATAGAACAAAAGCCTGCTCCTCCCCTAAGCAATAGCATTCTACCTGATGGCCTTGGAAAAGTGGCTGGTCTTGCCGGAAGACCTTTGAACTAGGACATTGGTTTTTCTTAGTTCTACAGTAGCTTCTGGCCTTTGGATTCAAACGGAGACATGAGCTCTACAGATTTTGGACTTGCCAGCCTCCATAATCATGTGGGACAATTTCTTATAAATCTCTCTATAAATATATAGATTCGGTGCCTGGGTGGCTCAGTCGTTAAGTGTCTGCCTTCGGTTCAGGTCATGATCCCAGGGTCCTGGGATCAAACCCTGCATCGGCTCCCTGCTCTGAGGGAGGCCTGCTTCTCCCTCTCCCACTCCCCCTGCTTGTGTTCCCTCTCTTGCTGTGTCTCTCTCTGTCAAATAAATAAATAAAATCTCTAAAAAAAAAAAATATATATATATATATAGATTCTGTTTCTCTGGAGAATTCTGACTAACACACCATTTAAAAATGGAACTTACATGTTTGTCCGTTCAGTCACCCATCATAGAATATTTGTGCTAATAACTGTATTATATTCAATTTTTTTTCCCTTAGATTAATTTGAGAGCTCTAAATACTTGAGCAAATTACAACTGGAGGTATAGAAACTTGTTAGAAGGTTATTGCAAATATAGTGATGGGACATGATGTTGGCCCAAACTAAGGTATTCAGAATTGGAATAAAGAGAAGTACATAGATTTAAGAGCTGTTTATTAGATAGAATAAAGGTGAGGCTAGGTGAGTTTGATACGATGGATAAAGGAGAAGGAAGAGCCAAAGGATAACTCAAAGATTTCTAGGTTGGGCTGTTGGTACCATTCACCCAGATAGGGTCTTGAAGAGACTCAAGTGTCAGGGTCAGAGTCCATAATAATGACATTAAAAAGCCAGTGAGATACCCAAGTGTAAATGTCTAGGGGTAGTTGTATGCATAAGTGGCTAATTTAGGAAAGAGAATAAGCTAAAGGCAAAAATGTAGGAATCATCAGTATATACATAGTAATTGAAACCACAGGTTTCAATAGTAGGTAAGACTGCTAGTCTTTGGATAAAAAGATTTAAAACAGGGTAAATGAGGCTTCTAGTGAAAGATTTTCTCTTTAAAAGAGGGGTACATCAGTAAAAATTAAATACATTTTTGAAGTATCAATTCACTTATTACTTAGTTTATTAAGCAGTGAAATGCATGGACCTCACCATTTTAGCTGCATATATCCCTTTCCCATTTGTTGTTTTCCTTTAACTTTATCAGTGTCTAAATTGCTAAAAGTCAGTAAATAAGTAATTGCTTTGTGAGAGATTATGTACTAGCCTGATGTATTAGGAGCCCTTAAACTAAAAAGAGAAAAGAAAGAAGGAAAGAAAAAGGAAAGAAAGAAAGAAAGAAAGAAAGAAAGAAAGAAAGAAAGAAAGAAAGAAAGAAAGAAAAGAGAAAAGAAAAAAGAAAGAGAAAAAAAGAAAGAAAAAAAGAAAGAAAGAAAGAAAGAAAGAAAGAAAGAAAGAAAGAAAGAAAGAAAGAAAGAAAGAAAGAAAAAAAAAAGTTGAGGTCTTTCTGATATTTATTTTTAAATTTTAAAACACTTTGGTTTAACTTAGAGGATCACTCTGACCTAGAGCATGGTCCATGAGTTTTGGAACACAGTTTTTTTTGTAAGAAAACTATGACTTGTATCTGCATTAATTTAGTGCTTCTATTGCACCTTCCACTGATAGTAGGAACTAGTTACATGGTATGCTAGTAATTACATATCAAATTAAATTAAATGGAAGTTATTCTGTTTGGGGAGGTGGAAGGATGGAAGAAATGAGTAGACTGAATAGACAAACCAAATTGCTTCTAGAAAATTATTTGAAAATATTTTAAATGCTAAAAAATAGTTTCAGATGTATATTTTGTAAAGTCACTGCATTCTAAGACTCTTAAACATAGGTTACAATCATAATTTTTATAGGATTACATATTGTCTAGCCTTCATGATTATTGCTTTTTTCTTTTTAAATTTTTTTTTTTTTTTTTTTTTAGAGAGAGAGAGAGCATGTGGGGGTAGAGAGAGGGGAAGAGTGAGAGAGAGAGAATCTTAAGCTGATTCCATTCTCAGCAGGGAGCCCCATGTGGGCTCCATCTGGGGCTGGATCTCAGGACCCTGACATCATGACCCTGAGATCATGACCTGAGCTGAAATCAAGATCCGGACACTTAACTGAGCCACTCAGGTGTCTGTGCTTTTTTCTTTTTCAGAAATTCTTTTCAGTCTGTTGAGCATCTGACTCTTGGTTTCTGCTCAGGTTGCAATCTCAGGGTTGAGCCCCAGGTAGGGCTTCACACTCAGCCTGGAGTCTACTTGTCCCTATCCCTCTCCCTGCTGTGCCATACCCCTCACCCCCATTTGCTAGCAAGCGTGCATGCTCGCACTCTCTCTCAAATAAATAAAATCTTTAAAAAAAATATTTTTCTATTCTATTACTTACTAGTAATAAGATTCTTAAGAATAATAAGTAATCCCAAAATAATCTTATAAGAGAATTTAAATATGTTTTCATTTTTGTAGGCTTTAAAAAATTATATAGTCTGAGTAGTTAGAGAATTGACTATATATATATTTTTAATTTTATTATGTTAGTCACCATACAATACATCATTAGTTTTTGATGTAGTGATCCACGATCCATTGTTTTCATATAACACCCAGTACTCCATGCAGTATGTGCCCTCCTTAATACCCATCACTGGGCTAACCAATCCCCCCTCCCCCCTCCCCTCTAAAACCCTGTTTGTTTCTCGGGTCCATAGTCTCTCATGGTTCATCTCTCCCTCCAA